AACTCACACAACCCTCCAGATTTTTCTGCCAAAATCAAGATGCAGAAAATATTTGTCGTAGTTCTGCACTTAACTCTCAAAAGGCAAAATCTTTCCAAACTTCATGTCTTTGCAGAACTTCTCAATCACACACACACAGGTGCAGGTACTGGGTAGGTAACACATGTTCAACAAGTGAGTGAAAACCTGCCCTGGAGACCAGCTAACAGCCCCAGACGAGACTGTGGAACTGCTGACAGTGTGTGTGACCTTTTCTCACAGAGCTCAGCTGGTTGCCTGGTGGGCTGACTGAGTTAGACTGTCCATCAGGAGAAGAGCTGAGATGCAATTCATTTTGGCTCAAACAGGAGTGAAACTGCAGCAGCTGAAGTGCCTGAGTATGTTTGTGCACAGAGCTCTGCGTGGGTGAGGGGTGACTGAAGGGACACCAGCTCAGGGAACAATCTGCAGCAGGTCTCTTCAACCAGTCCAGGGAACTCAGCAGGTAACTACTGAGATTAGAGAAAAAGGACTTTTTTTTTCTCAGCTTACCTTTAAGTTCCCCGCTTACTTTCCACAAATTGTAGAAATAAACACTTGAAATAAACACTTTGTGTCATGCATAAAATGAAGACCACACAGCACTGGATGGGTGACTTTAGTTCAGATAGAGCATCACCCAGCCCTGATCCTGAAAATGTTCACGAAGATTTGGAGCTACTGTAATGGCCTGCAGTTCAATTCTACAGAAGGGAGAATGCATTTGGAAAAAATCAATCCATGAGTAGCTGCTTTGTAATAGCTGGAGCAGAGAGAAATGGCAGAAGGCAAAAAAACGGAGTGTTTAACAGCAGAGCCATCAGATTTTCATTATCCCACAAAGTTGTCATGTAGTTTTGGTGACAAGTAGTATGAACTGCAGTCACTCATCACCTTCATAAGCACTCTCAGCCAAAAAGCTAGAAACAGAAGCTGCCAGTGCACAGTGATGAGCTGCCTAGCCCCCTCTTGGAGATACGCACTGCCACCAATACAGGCTTGCCAAGCAATCTCCCACTGCCAGCTTCTCCCCATTGGCTGTGATCTCCCTGCATCCTGGACCAAACGGCTGTCAGAGCCAGCTCTGGATCTCACCAGGATTCAACTGTGGTACCTGTGGTGGGTGGATGTAACAGAACCATTTTCCATTTGTTCTCGTGGGTGTGATTCTTCTGTCATTCTGGGGAGCGCAGCCAGGGCAGCCCCAGCACAGCGCAGTCATGGTCATGCTGCTTTTTTTTAAGCCATCAAACTGATTGCAGCAATTTTCTTAATAAAACACACAGAATTAGGACAGTTCCCATTAGAAAACAGCAACTCCTGCTCTTTTTCCAGTCCGTAATCAAGTGTGAGGATGCAAATTGCTGTAAGGAAACCAGTCTGTTTGGGCAGAGGGCATTGCAAACCCATGGTGGGACACTGGGATAGTTGGCAGCTCTGCATAGCTGCATTCAGCTCTTCAAACAAATCCTCCAGAAAGGGAGGAACACTTACCTGGTGTCACAGAACCATTCTCTGATTTGAAAAACATCGTTTTCAGATCATATTCAGAGCTACCCTTTCCTTATTTCAGGCAAGCCCATGGCCTATCTGAGCTTATTTTGCAAAGCTGCCACTATAAAAGGTGACGCGAATACTCAAACAAACGAAACCTTGAGAAAAATACTGTAATTAAGTATCTCACCTTTTATTTTGTTCATTTACACTTCTGGCACTGACAGTTCTTTGAAGATATTTATTTTTATGTAAAGACAAACTTCATTAAAGCAATCATAAGTCAATTAAATAATTTTACATCACTTAAATTTCAGAAAATGTACAACACTTTCATACATTATAGGCTTGACTGGTTGGAAATGGAAATGGCACATGTTTGACATGGTTAAGAAATGACTTGGACAACCCAGCAAATTGTTTTGCCAAAACCTGTTTTGTACTAAATACCATAACCCGTGCCCGGGGATTACAGTGTGCCTGATGGCACCATGTGCACGTTATTCAGCATGGAATTATTACTATCAACTTGGTCCCCAGTAGTGTCTCGAATATTCTACACGGCATTTGTCACACAAAGATCCGGTTAACCATTTTGTAGAGGGGTGAGATTCACAATGGAAAGCAGAGACATGACTCGTGCCACTTCCCAGCGACGTCCCGGACCAGCAGGACACTGAGCACATGGAGAATATCAAGCACATGAATAATCCTATCAGTTTCACGGGGACTCTTGGAACACTTGAAATCAAACAGATGGCAGGCGTGCACTAGGCAGGGCCCGCAGTGCAACACAGCATCCCAGCACCATGAAACCACCTTGTTTCATACCTGCTGAGGATCCATGAAGCTTCTCCTGCAGAAGTCATGATGGTGGTCATACATTCAGTCCTCTCCAAAGTCTGTGTAATGTTTAAGGCAGCAAGAGAAATTTGCCTTTATTTTAACACTTCAGAAACAGATGGTTCCTTTACAAATAGGTGGACAATATTCATAATTCATCAGTATGCTCCTTATTTATATAGATGTGATGAAAGGCCAAAGCAAATTCTGACAAAATTTTTCTCAACAAAATCAAGAAGCAACTGAACTGGAGTTGAAGCTTTAAAATTACATGTGCCAGATCATTCACATGTAACATACTATCTAGGGACAATGTGAAAAAGCATGGATATAGATGAAGTCTGTATTCTTGAGGCCTGACTTTTGTCAAACTTCCCCTGGCATGAGTGAGCTCTACTGAAGCCAACAAGTGAGCACCTCTGATGAGAGGTGTGAGTAAGATTAAAAACATGCCGCTGGTTCACACTAACAGGTCATTGTGGCTAAAGTATATTCTCATATACAGAACTCTGCAACACTATTAACACCCATTTACAAAACACTACAGTGATGGTTATTGGCACATAAAAAACTCCTTCTCTATATGAAAACATACACAAAATAGATAAGAACTGCCTTTTTGTTTTCAGACTTTTAAAATCTATATATAGTTGCCTTTGAGGAATTTTAACCCCCAGTATCACAAACAACAATATTTCTTTAACAATGTTCACCTAGAATTTTACTGTGCTGACATTTGTAACACTGCCACAATCTAGACCACTTGTGGATTATGCTTAACTGTACTGTACACAAGGTGATGAAGATTGATAGAAAACCACTAAGATTTTTGCACAAAAGTATGACTTGTTAAAATCCAGAGAACAATTGAGTCACTTTATAGGCAGCAGCTACATGTAAGCTGTAAATGTTACCCGCAATAAAAACACATTTTGCCATAAAGCACATATTGTGGCATTATCTGCTTCTGGCCTGGTACACAAAGCTTGATTTTCTTCCCAATGCAGAGGAATGGGTTTGGTTAGCTTGATTCTCTCAGAAAATAGTGCACACATATCTTACTCATTAAAGTGCTTTGCAGAATTGTCTCTTCTGCCTTGATTTATACCCCAAGGTCATTCTCTGCTGTAAATATTCTGCCTCTTTTGCAGTAGTGCTGTTCAGCCAACAAAGCCCCTTATGCAAGTAAAATTTCAAAACAACCATGTTAGAAGAGCATCAACGAGAAGTAGAAAGCTGGGTAAAAAGCGGAGAAGTACAGGGTCTGTCTTTTCCTTGCCCACTGAATGCCTGTGGAACTACACCCAATACTCCCATGGCCTAAGGCAAGACCCTTGCTCAAAGCCTTTAGCAGCCCCTGAAGGTCAAAACTTCTCCCCAGTGCTCAGCCCAAGTGACTACGAATGGCAAAAGAGATTTCACCGAGGAAAAGCGTACTAGCTTTGCCAGCTCCACTGCCACGTCCTCACCTCCACACAGGCATGGGAGAGCAACACCAGATTGCTTCTTCCCCTGACAGCCCTCCATTCCTATCCACAGGACCAAGCACAGTCCCTCACCCCATCATCCTCACCCCACAAGGGAGAGAAGTCAGAGCATGCTCCTGCTGGCTGCAACACCCATTGCTACTGAAATTTGACTTTGCGGTGCTTTTGATGCATCATTTCCTTCTTCTCCTGTCCCAGCCCTAACTCCTACCCGAGTGAAATGCAGCATTATCAACCCATGCAACAATAAGTTAGTGTTGGAACAATGGTCCTTTGTGATTTACCCTTTCTTGCCCCATGATTTCTGCCAGTTGTCACTGCACCTCCCAAGGAAATGTCTACAAGAGTGACCAATCCAAGGTACCCGCACAGCAACGCAACTCCAGCCCTCCAAATGATTCCTGGGCTTGCTTTGACTCTATTTTCAAAACAGGTTTGGTTCTCTTGTTAAAAGATTACTTTGATCAACAAAGTGACAAGGGGAAGAAAAGTGCAAAATTATCTCAAATTACTCAGCATGGTGAACAAACAACTACATGCAAATTAACATGAATTAAATTTAAAAATATTAAAAATGTATCAGGACTGTTTCTTTTATACTTGGTGTTACCTCACTACATGTAGAGTTGGTAGGTAATTCAGAATTAGAAGATCTCAAATTGTTGTGTATAATCATCTACCAGAAGTATTACTCTAGCATTCCTGATGCACAGAATACCTGAATTAAGTCTGCAGTCCTTGTGAAGAAACAATTTCACGTCTTCTACAAAAAGCTTTCAATAAAAGAATATTGTGCTTAGACATATGTTACTTCATAAATTAAAATCTTGTAATAAGAAATTATTGAATTACACTGTATTTTTATTCTTTTATCTGGAATGTTCCTAAGTCTACCTTTAGAAAAAATCTTTTAAAACTTAAATTACTAATAAATATAAAAAATATTTGCAAAATAGATATATATTTCTAATTTTCTTCATAAATTCTAAATGCTCACAGATTCTAAAAATAAAACCTTAACTGTGTAAGATCAATTTGAAGTATCTGATATAATTTTTAATACACATGATTCTTGGTTTATGTTCAGTATTTGTAAAGTATGGAATGCTGTCTTGGTGTGAAGAAACCCTAAAAGGAAGACTTAAACCCTGCTCTCCGTGGGCACAGAACAGGGAGGGATAATAAAGAAGCCAATGTATTTTGTATCCTCATGACCAGTAGCAGTGAGGAATAAAATGCATGTTTCAATTGCTGTGTCTTGTGAGAAAGGACAGGGGATACAAACCTTCAGAAAACCATTTTCAGTAAGACGGAACCTGCGTGAGAAAATGAGCCCAGTGCTGTACACGACTGAGCGCTCCTTTGGGAAGGTCCATGAAACAAGGCTGGCAGAGAGAGATGATCTTCTGCTGCTAAAAAGCCCCAGAACTGCCTGCAAAATAGAAGAGGCTGCTGACCCCATGACAGTGACCTTCCCAGCAGCTCCACTTCAGTTATGCCCATACCTGCAGCGTTCCCTCTCCCTGTGGACACAAGGTTAGCACTGACACGGGGCTGGCACTGGCACACCAGGTCCTGCCTTGCTCCTCCTCCAGGAAAACACACCAAGCAAGGGAATGCTCCCAGGTGTGAAGGTGAGTGTGGGCTCATGCTTTTGGGACCATCAGAACCCTAAGTCCCCATCCCAGAAGCCAGTAAATAGCCACTTAAACATCTCAAGTGCGTAAGCACAGGTTGGCTGTTATACACCTATTCACACACTGCTCTAGGTAACAAAACTGCTTCAAATACCGGTCTTCAAACACAATTTTTTGGTTTCAGAAAAAGGTCAATGTCTCCTTGAAAAGATTTTGTTCTTCTCTGTGCCAAGTATCTCTTTTTCTCATTTCAGGTACTGCACCTTGAGTGAAAGCTTCAAAGAGGTGACAGCCAAATGGAGACATCCTGCAGCAGGGGAATTTGTAGGGAGGTCTGAGGACCTCAGCACTTTCAACAGATAGATCTGGAGACCTCAGCATTTTCTACAGCTGGTGCTTTCAAGCATAAAAATATTGTGCGCTTAAAAGGGAGGCAAGATGGAAGGCATGAGAATCCAGCCCTCTCACAACACAGGAGATGTTCAAGGTTGAGCCACTCCTTGCAAAGATTAATTTGAAATTCCCTCTGTCTACTATGTTTTTCCCTTTTAGCCCCAGTCAAGTCACAGAAGGAGTCCTTAAAATGTTTTCTTTCCAAAAATATTTCTCTGATTAACAAAAAAAAGAGAAAAGAAAAGAAACCAAAACACACCCAATCCCTGAAGGTCAATAATTGGAGGATACGAACTCCCCCCCACAGAAGATTAGATAACATAATGTCAGACTTCTTTACAACAACAAAATCCCATGTTATCCAGTAATTTAGTAACAAATGTTCAGGCTTGATTTTGATAGCAATCCAACATTGAAAATATTTTTCAACCTAAGAAAAACCCATAAACCAAATCTATAAAAGCTAATGAAACTAATGACTTCTTTAATCTTTACACAATGAAAAATGTATTTTTTACCAAATAAATGGGCATCAGCCCACAGGCAGAGGAATTTTTCCACATTCTTTCATGAAGCAAATGTTTCAAAGATAAGAATTTGAATTATTGATGCTTTCAAACTCATATCTTTGAAGACTTAAAGCAGTGAGGACAGGACAAAGAAAAAAAAAACATAATATTTTTATGTAGCTGCATAAAATTCAATTTTCCAAGGGAAGCAATCGTGGCAGGCGAATAAAGAAAATATAGTTCATATTTTCATTACCATGCTAAAGGCAGCCAAGTTAGTTTTGTGCCTGACATTTTCTTGACAAGTTTGCAATGCTTTGGTAAGGCAATTAATACGAGACGCAGGCTTCTGCCCATGGCTAATATTTCTCTTTAGATCCAGCAACACACCAAAACTGACTAAGGAAATTTGAAGAAAAATGTGCTGGGAGTCATTTGCTCAGCACATATGGAGCTAAACTGAAGGCAATAATTATTCACAAGCAAAAGGCACAGGAGGGATGACCACTGTGCATTTAGCAGCACAAACCCTCTCCCCTCCTTATCTTTCTTTTAGCTAATGGTATTTTTGTGTTCAAAACTAGGCACAAACCAGTATGCTCAAATGCTAAAAAGGAAAACAAATACAATTTTTTTTAAACTGAAACCTCTATGTTGTACCTGGCATTATATACCAGTACATTTGTAAGTGCAGCCACATACTGAGCTCTGTTTTCCTGCTATCAGTAATTAATTTTTCCAGTTTTTCTCACAAACATAAACTCTCAGCTGCAGCCTGTACTCAGGAGTAGTTGTGGGTGGATAACCCGGTGTAGCACAGACACACACCACCCTAGTGAACCCCCGTCAAGGTGAGTATGGCTCTCTACTTGCTATCTCAAATAAATAATGTAAATTCTCTTTGGGTAAATTTGGGAAATGTCCCACTGATGGCTACAGCAGGTATTTGTGTTTTGCTGATCAGTTAACCCTATGAAATGGTTACTGTTACAGCAGCTTATGCATTCATCCTTTGCTATACTGCACAGCAGAGCTTCTTCCTTGGCTCCTATGGGATGGGGATCCGACACCTGCCAGCTGCTCTCTCATCAGCCACTCAACTATTTTAGGTTTTGTCAGTATTGCAGATAAGGACAACCCCTGACCATCTTGGATAGCCTTCTGTATTCATCTGGTACAGTGCACCCTCCTAAACATCTGGGGATGGAGCAGTGTCACACACACTCGGTGAAGTCACATAATTGTGGAATTCAATCTCTTTTGGAAGCCATTGCTTTTAGTTATCAAGAAAATGCTAGCATCTAGAATTTTCTCCCAAATGGAGCATTGAACATGAAGGCATTTTTAAATACACAGTAGAAAGGAGAACCAGACCAGAAGCAGGGCAGTGAGGTCATCAGAGAGCTGCTTTTCCCCCAGAAGGCTTTTAAATGATTAAATACATCAGCAGCTGAAAATTATTCCACATCAGAAGCATCATTGTCAGAAAGATGGTAATTACTTCCCTTCACCCGAATATACTCAATATACCTTCCTTCATCAGAATCTGACATACCACATGTACATAGCCTGTTTTCAAACAAAGATTCAATTTCTTCCAGTTTTTTCCCTTTAGTCTCAGGAAGGCAGCCGTAGATGAAAACCAGTCCCAAGGCAGCAAACCCTGCGTAGAGGAAGAAGGCTCCTGCAATGTAAAACCATTGTCACAGTCAGTTACAGAGGTTCCCATCCCTCTTCTGTGCCAGAGCAGAGGGAGTGACAGAAGCAGCAGGCTGTGGCTTCAAAGGAGAGTGTAAAAGCAAAGGCTGGAGTGACAGGGTTACTTCTGTGTAATGAATGAGCTGTGGGGCTGTGGGTGTGGGAGAAGGACTCCTTATTACCCCATTCCTCAGCAAAGTAAATTGACAAAGGCAATTCCAATTCACGTGAAAGATAATACACATCCTTTCTGGGCAAGTCGCTCTGGTCTTAAAATAAACAGCAATTACACAATCACATGCCCAAATATAAAAAGCAGATGTGAAAGGAAAGAGCTTTCTTGGTTTGTCTTGACAGTGGAGGACACATTAAGACAAGTCCTCAAAATTAAATGCTCTAGCAAAAGAAATGAGTCAGGATTAAAATAATGTTTGTGACTTTTACACCTAACTTATTTAAAAGTGCTTTGTGGTGACAATTAATACTGAGAAAGAGCTTGTTCCTGCCCACAATCCATCATACATAGAGGGGCAGAGCAGGTAGCAAAGGACCAACAAACATTTACCTCGTGTCGCTACACTGATAGCTCAAAGGAATAACAAGCAGAGCTGTAAAGCTCTGCACCAGTAAGGATGTGAAGGTCATATCATCTCCCTAGCAGATTAATGTGATTTAAATGACTTATATTGGTGTGGGTGAGCAGTAACCTGACAAACACTCCACAGATTCCCACAGATAGTACTTTATCAATAGCTGTATTTCTGCAAATACCATCTGATTCTGGCCTTGGATGTCACCATAAACTGGAAAACTGCAGATGCTGTCACCTTAAGTGGGAGTCAGCATTATTTCATTAAATCAAAAGTGGGTTTTTTCCAGCTTCTCTGTTTTAATCAACTGTGTAGGTTCTCAGTTCAGGACAAAAAGAAATGTTTCTTATGAAATCCAGACCAAAGTCTATGATCCAAGCAGGTTGTTTCAGATCTCTAGTCTTACGAAACCACAGTGGGTTGAGAACATTGCTTTGACACTTCACAGCAAAACCAGTGGAGGGACCCAGAATCTGGAGAAAATCTCTGTGCCAATGGCAGTACTGCACATATGGACATGTACTGTTACTTACCATAGTATGTCAGATATTCAGCTGCATGCAGAAATGTCAGTGACACGAGCACATTGAAAACCCAGTTGACTCCAGAAGAACATGCATTTCCTGTACTTCTAGCCCAAAGTGGATAAATTTCAGAATTGACAGTCCAGGGCATAGGACCCATCCCTAAGAATTAGGAATAAAAGGATTAATCTGAATTTAATGGCTGAACTCAAAAATAAATTTAACATGTAGCTTCACTATTTGACATTTTAAACTTATATGGGAAAACAAGTATTTTCTTACCAGGTGCAAAGAAAACCAAATACAAAATAAGGCCCAGAAGTGCTGTCCAAGAGTACGGAGTGGGACAGAAATTGTATGCCCAAAATAAATCTTCCTTTTTGAATACGGTTTCATTTGAACACCTGAAAATCAACAAAACTCCATTTTATTAAAGAATTTTCAAGGCAATAGTTGACATTGCAAAATAAACATGGCAAGTAATGTCTTAATAAAAGATGGCTAATGTACATCTAAGATAAAAACCCTTAATCCCTGTAAATTTATCAAGATCTTTGAGCAAAGTTCTACACTCAGAAACATGTTTTTTTCTTAAGCCTAGTCTTAGGAAGAGTAATCAGCAGAACATTCCTGAATTTAAACACTTGCCCTGAATTTACAGATCTTCTTCAAACAACCAGTAGTTAGTACAAAAATGGTGATACCAAAGCCATCAAGACTAATTTACAGGAATATCACACAATGCAAAACCAGCTGCAGCAGCAGGACTTGGAGCTAAAGATGCTTCACACAACGATGTAAGGTCAGAGGGAAGTTAGTCCTTACATCACTGCTGAACCAACTACATGAGGCATACTTCAGGTGTGAACAGTAATGTCTATGGAGTGTGCCAAGGTCAAATGAAGTTACAAAGAAAAGAGGTGTGTATTTCCTTCCTACACAGTGAAATAGTTTAGGAGAAGGTAGTGCTTGTAATTAGCTACTGAAAGAATATATGTCTCTATTGGAAAGGCCATGTGAGAATTGTGTATTTCACGGAATATTTCAACAATTTCCAATATTTCAAGGAATAGGTGTAAGATCAGTTATTTCCCTCTGACTGCCAACAATATATTTTAAAGCAACATTTTTTAAAGGCATACTGGCAACTTTATTTTTTGTTTTAATTTTTTTAAATTAATGTTTGTTTAAAGGAAACAAGTCATAAATGTAACCTGTGAAACTCTTCAGCTGCCACCACATCAGTTGCTAGAGATGAAAAATACTATACTTTCTGGAGAGAAGACTTAAGCAGACACTACTCTTTCATATGTTAATCAAACAATGTTATTTACTTGCAAAGAAGAAATCATAGAGAGCTGAACATCTGCCTGGGTTATGATTTCCAGATCAGCTGAGCACTTATATGAAGGATGTGACCCTCTTGACAAGTAGAGAAACCAGAATGACAATGCCTGCAATGGCAATAGGAGGGCAACAGGTTGTGGATGGTGGAGTAAGAGCCACTCTGCAATGCTTCAGAGTTGAACAGCAATGTGCTAAGCACTGATGACCAACCCACCAGCACTCCTGGGGCAGAAATCTTCCCTATCTCATCATTGATGAAAGGACAACATTTAAAGCAAGATATCATGGTGAAGTCCCAGACCCAATTTCACGACAGCTGGAAATCCAAAGCTCCAAAATATTTAAAAGAGAGACATTAACCCTACAAGTACTGGAAAAATGCATGTCTGAACCTTGGTAAAACCCTAATGGCAGTAACCTGTAAGATGTGCCGTTTCAGTTTGCACTTGAGCAGCACCCGAACAAGTGGAGAAATGGTGAGCCCTTAATTTGGGGTCAGCAATACAGCCAGTGCCGGTGTGCTCCTTCCCACCCTTTCACAGCTCTGCCTCGCTGAGTTCCCCTGGAAAGGCCATCTCATCCAGGGCATTGATTCATTTTCACTCTTGAGGTGGAAAAGATTTAGAGAACAGATCAGCTGAACATCCCTCTCAAAGACATGTCCTTTGTGCCTGGATACAGACTCGCCCACTGCAAGAACATAGGAGTGCTCGATTTCACACTGCTTTAACATCATCAATTTTGCTTCTTTTGCTATTATGCGAATTTCATTTGCAGGTGTTTGCAATGAATACAAGCTGATGAGCACTTTTAAGCATCTTGCTGAGATGAATTTCTCCATTCTGCCCAGCCAGATTGGCAGCTCTGCAGAGAGGGCTTCATGCTTTCTCTCAAACAAAACTGTAAACAAAGACATTCTTGGTTTATTATCCTGCATCCATCTCCATGAGCACAAACCAACATGCTGATTCATGCAGACACAATTGCAGGCAGGTCAGTGTGTTTCCTTCCCTTGCCATCTTTTCCCAGTTGTATCCTACTTTTGACAGAGTGGAACACAAATAATACAGGCGAAAACCAGATGTCTCCAAAGCCTCCTGTGACTGAGGCCACTCATCTATTCTTCACTGTCTGCCCCTAGCAGAGAGGAAATTTTGTTGCAGAAAAGCAGATTTAGTGCAATGAAATGGGAAAAACAGCACTTGAGACTAGATTAAATAGAAACCTGGCAGTAATAAACTGTGCTTCGCTTATCCTTCAGTTGTGAACCAGCATGGTACACATAGTAAAAGCAAAGACATCTGCATTTGCTGGCATCTTGCAGTGCTGGGAATGTTAAAAAAATAACACTCCTTCAAGATTTGTTCAAACTCTATCACTGTGCTAATTCTACTACTGTAGCACTGTATTATTTTGATGAAGAACATATTTATAATTAGCATACAGTTTATTACCAGACAAAATTCAGAATTTTGTCCTGCATGAAGGGAGCATGTATGATGGAAGCAGAGGAGCAGCTACCCATTGCTTCATAAGCTGAAACACAGAAGAAAATCAAAGAATCATGGAATGGTGTGATCTGAAAGGGACCTTAAAGATCATCAAGTTCCAACCTCTGCCTTCCATGGGCAGGGACACCTTTCAGTAGACCAGGTTACTCAGAGCCCTATCTAAACTGTCCCTGAACACTTCCAGGGATGGGGCATCCACAGTTTCTCTGGGCAGCCTGTTCCACAGCTTGTTAGCATCCCTGTTGATGATTTGGATGTGGGAATTGAGTGCACCCTCAGTAATTTGCAGACAACACCAAGTTGGGTGGGAGTGTTGATCTGCTTGAGTGTGGGAAAGCTCTGCAGAGAGACCTGGACAGACTTGATCAATGGGCTGAGGAGAAAACTGCAGGAGGTTCAATAAGGCCAAATGCTGGGTCCTGCACTTGTGCCCCATGGATCCCATGGAGTGCTACAGGCTGGGGCAGGAGTGGCTCAGGAGCTGTTCGACAGAACGAGACTTGGGTGTGTGTGCTGGTCGACAGTGGGCTCAATGTGAGCCAGTGTGTGTGCCCAGGTGGCCAAGAAGGCCAATGGCATCTTGGCCTGTATCAAGAATATTATGGCCAGCAGGAGCAGGGCAGTGATCATCCCACTGTACTCAGCAGTGTACTGCACCTCGAATCCTGTGTTCAGTTCTGGGATCATCACTTTAAAGAGGACACTGAGGTGCTGGACCATGTCCAACCAAGGGCAACAAGGCTCATGAATGGTTTAGGAAATAAATCTTATGAGTAATGCCTGAGGGAGCTGGGTTTGTTTAATCTTGAGGAGGGTCAGGGGGAATCTCATTGCTGTCTGCCACTACCCAAAAAGAGATTTTAGTTAGATGAGGGATGGTCTCTTCTACAGTGACTGAAGTAAGAGGACCAGAGGAAATGGTCCTAAGCTGAGACAGGGGAGATTCAGGTTAGGTATTAGAAGAAGTTTTTTTTCCCTGTTAGAGTGGTCAGGCATTGGAATTGGTTGCCAGAGAGTGTTGAAGTCACCACACCTGGAGGAGTTTAAGAGGTTGGTGCTGGGTGACATCCTTCAGTGGTTACTGTGGTAGTGCTGATGTCAGGCTCGATCTTAAAGGGCTCTTCCAACCTGGATGATTCTATGGTTCTATGAGCTTCACAAGGGCCCAGCTCTCAAGCCTGTCCAGGCTCCTCTGGATGGCATCCCTTCCCTCCAGCGTGTTGGCAGAACCACAGAGCTTGGTGTTGTCTGCAAACTTGCTGAGGGTGCACTCAATCCCACTGTCCATGTGGCCAACAAGGATCTTAAACAGCACCAGTTCCAGTACTGACCCCTGAGGAATGCCACTTGTCACTGGTGTTCACTTGGTCATTAAGGTGTTGACTACAACACTTTGAGTGACCATCCAGGCAATTCCCTGTAAATGGTACAAGTGAAATGATGCAGTAAGGTACTGGTGCAAAGCATTTGTGTGTACCAATATGCTGTGTAATAGTCACATTGGTACAACCAGTGAAGACACATCACATCATAGCCTCTGAAATCACTGCCAAACCAAAAACATGAAAATGCTATACTGAAAGCTTTTACTGTGATTTTTTTTGGCTATGAGTTTTCTACAGGCTACTTAAGATGCACATCAGTTCTAATTAGTGAAATCACCTACCAACAATTGATGCAAGAAATTCAACTGACTGGAAATAAATGAGAAGATTGGTAGATTTTCAAATGACAAGCACTATATAGCCAGTTTCAAAATCACAGGATCCATCATCTATCAGATATGGTCTGAAGCTCGAAAAGACTAAAGCTTTGCTCTCCATCTCCCTAAATTACCTTCATATGGCACATAAAAGAAATTAAGAAAAGAGCCAGCGTGGGGAGTTTAGAATATTATTGCAAATAAGAGGAAGGCCAGCAGGAAAAAACAGGATAAAACCATTCCTTGATAATGTAAATTTTCCTAACACTCGAGCCATTATGGCTTTACAATAATTCTGAAGCACAACGCTGAAAACCCGTGTGAGAAATTTCTGAGCAAGACATCGCACAGGCACAAGACAGAGACCAGCTTGATTTTCTTCTCAAATATCCATTAATTTTTGCTTTGCTGTACAGTGAGGAATGTCTAGCCCTAAAGACACAGCTTTTGCGTGAATTGTTTCATTGTGAACAGTTAATTTATTTTTAATATGAAAGCTGCTGACGTCTCGTCTTTTAAGCCCTTCAGAAGCATCTTAAATGGATTTAGATCAAAAATCTTAAAAGGTCAAAATTCAAATCAAGTCAGGCAAAGGAAATTACTTCTGAAGAAAAACACTAATGTGATCATCCATCTCTGAAAAATGCTTGTTAGAACAAGAATATTCCAAAATTACACATTCTGCTCTGAGATAAACTTTAACATCAGGTGCTGATAGCACAGAAAGATTTTGTAATTAATTAACAGTTTCACTAATCCACCATTTCTTTGTTCTAACTCAAGAAAAACTACAGAAGGACTGCTCTTATGCCAGCCTTCTGTGCCTGGATTATCAGGATAATGA